ACCATTTTTTATTCAACGCTTAGCCTTATTTAAGCATTGTTTACCATGCTTGAAACAGGTTTCTAGAGTTGCAAAGCAGCAAGGTATTTTATGTCTAACGTCCATTATGCCTAACGTATATTATGCCTTACGTCCATTATGCCTAATGACTTTATGCCTAACGTCCATTATGCCTAACGTATTTATGCCTAATGGGGTACACTCAGTCTCGGCAACCCAGTGGTTCATCTGATAACTTCTGAAGAGAAGGCTGTCGCGATATGGTGTCACACTTACTACGAATATTTCATAAAATACAAACGAACTATTCGTGTAAAATTTGTATTGTATTGAAAATAGAAGGAAACGTCTACCTACAAAACAACTTGCCTACATTGTACGAAAAAGGCTACGAAGAGATTCGTTAAAAAATAAATGGTTTATTTTTAGACGTCAAAATAAAAACTTTATTAAACATTTCTGACACATTAACGCTCACTAGGGAAATATTCCTATGCAGTTTCAAAGCTCAAGCGACAACATGCCACTTATGATGTCCCGCTTCGGTCGGGCTCTGCTCCTTAATATAGTCAGCCTAGAGCCTTTCCGGTCGGGGTACGTTCCCTAATCTCGGTTACCTAGGTGATGTTCCGATAGCATCGTCAGCCTGTGGATGAGAAAGAAAGAGAAAGATTAGTTTCAACATGAATAGCAAAACGTTGGTTAGTTACTCACCCCATCCAGGACCATGATCTGCTCGTTTCGGCGAGATTTCTTGAACACATCACCGGAGGATCACCCCAGGAATCAAACCGTAGTCAGCACTGAGTGATGGCCAAATTGTACGACGAAAGCACAGCTTGACAGATTACTGCTTACTAAGTAAGAAGGCCTCTCCATGGTGCGAATTCTGTTGCTTTTTATTCTCCTTTAGCAGCTACCGGGATCGGACCTACCAAGTCCCACACAACATCGTCACAGTCCGACACGATGGTGTTGAACGAATAGACAAGTCTTTGTTTTTATTCTGGCTATCGTAGTACATAAACAAAAAATATTTCATAATTTTCACGAATAGCGCGCGTACTATAGGTACGGTTTCGTACTGTTTACGAATAAACGAATGATTCCCGTAAGAAGTGTTTACGTCCGTACGAAATAAAGTTCGTGTATTTTACGGATTATGCGTAATACACCCAGCGTTGCCAGATATACCGACTTATCGGTATATATACCGATTTCCAAACTAGCTACCGATATACAGATAAGGTTCCTCAGAGTATCGATTTTTAAGATTTTATACCGATTTATACAGTTTTTTTTTTTAATAATTAAAATTATTATTGCTTGTCCGCGCTCGAATTTCGGAGAATTTTTTTGTAAGAGACTTGTATCTTTTTGAATACTTCAAATTTTGTTAGCCTTCTATCTATAATTCTAAACAATCATCTCTAAAGATGCCTTATGTTTGATACTTTTTCAACTAATGTTTGCATTTCCTCACCCATCAATCGAGAAATAGTCGATGGCTCTTTCCGGTAATTCCTAGGGAATCGAGAAATATTTTTTAAACATTATTTAACTTCCGGAAGATTTTATTCATTTTTAAATTTCCTGAATTTTCATCCAACTTTCCCTGCAATTTTCTTCCACCTTACCTTGCAAGCTTCTTCAGCCTTCGCTCGAATGATTCTTTCACCTTCTCCCGGCAAATTTAATGGTTTTCAGGAACTTTAGTGAAGCTCAGAGAACATCAGGACAGATCAATTAATTCATGAAATTGCTGAAATTAACGGGTGGAAACTAAAATTTTGGAATTTTTTCGAGGCCTCTATGCTCAACAACAAACGAGCGCAGAGAGAAATAAGAGTGTGTATGTGTTAGCTCTCTCTCTCCTCTTTCTGCTAGTATTTTCTGTTTTGTTTATGCTTGCTCAGTTTTGCTCAAAATGCCGTCGAAACAAGAAGTATTTCGCGAGCGCGTTGTACAGTTCTACGAACTGCACAGAAATCTCGGCAAAAAGTATACGGTACAACATTTTAAAAGCGAAAATGTTGCGGCTTCGACTGTTTACCATATCCTAAGATCCCCAACAACTGCTCGCAAGCAAGGTAGTGGAAGACCAGCCAAAATTATGACGCAAAAGGACTTCGTTCTCTTTCTCGTGCCATGGTTCAAGCCCTCTGGTTTGGCAATCAATCAATATGTGTACCAGAACGAATGTTTGAAGAAAATTTTGATCCCGTTTCTACAAAAACATCATGCTGATGGACAATACGTGTTTTGGCCGGATAAAGCGTCATCGCATTACGCCAAAAAACACAATCGTTCCTGAATACCCATTCGATCCCATTTGTACCCAAAAACCACAAACCGACAAATCTGCCTCAGTGTCGCCCAATCGAAGATTTCTTCGGGGTTTTGAGCTCCTTGGTGTACAAAAATAACTGGAGAGCCACGAATTGCAAACAGTTGATTGGTAGAATCAAGAGATGCATTCGCAAAGTTGACATAAAGGCCGTACAACGCTCCTGTTCCGACATCAAACGGAAGCTTCGCCGAACATCCGATTACGGACCGTTTTCAAATGTTCACTAATTTTTTTTCAACAATGGACAATGTATCTTTAATTTCAATAAATCAGATCTTCTTCAAGTATGTTTGTCTTTTTTTGACAGCTTGAGAAAGAAATTCCAAAATTTTAGTTGCCACCCGTTATAAAGGAGTTCCGAGAAACTCAGGCAATTTCCGAAAACTTCAGCAATGTCCTGATGGGCTCATGCAAATTTAGGAAACGTAAGGGAAGTTACATGAACATTAGAACATTGTGAAAACATTTTATGAGAAGTTCTATGCTTTTTAATGGCAGTGTTGATAACTTTTAAAAATTAAAAAACGGGAAGATCAGAGAACTTCAATGCTGATGTAATAATAAATTCAAAAAAAATGTGAGAGCACTTAAGAGATTTCATAACCTTCAAGAAAGTCCAGAGACCTTTAAAGATGATTAGAGATATTCCGGTAGTCTTATTATAATCAGGAAAGTTCCGAGCGCTTCGAGGATGACCAGAGAACTCTTAAACAGCTCCTAATTTCAGCAAAATTGCAAGAACTTTCAAGGAATTTCGAGGAATTATGAAATATTCCAAAGTGCATTTCAGGAATATTCCAAAAACTTGAGGGAAATTGCGGAGTTTCAGGGATGTTTTATGAATATAAGGAAAATTTTCTGGATCATTAGAACATCCCCAGGAATCTCTTTCTTCCGGTAATATGTCCTTGTTTCTTTCGACTGTTCCATAAGCGCGCTGGCTTCCGACTTTCTTCAGATGTTTCTTCCAATCTACCTTAGGAAGTTTCTGCCAGCATCTCCAGGAAGTTTCTTTCGTCTTCTCCAGGAAGTTAAATTAATTCTCCCAGAAATTAATTCGGCTTCTTCTGGAAGTTTGACCATAAGCCAAAGGTTTTTTTGTTTGACTTCTATTGGAAGGTTTTTCCGAGGTTCTTCTGGCTTTCCCTGGAAATGGCTACTTCTGAAAATTTACTTCCGGTTCCCGAAACTTTTCTGGCGATTTTTTTTTCGATGGTTTATTTAAATTTTCGCCACAAGTTTCTCAATTCGTGTCTTGGAAGTTTCCCGGATGTTTTTCCAACTTTTCTTAGAACTTTCCTCAAACTTCATCCAGGAGAGCTTCTTTCGTCTTTCACTTTTTATGTTGTTTTTGTGCTAACGTAAGAACTCCACGACACACATAACACGCGACGCGAGACAAGACACAACACTTATCGTTCTTACAAAATTTAAAACGGATTAAAAATTACCTTTCTGTCGACCGGTTTCGGGCGCGATGCTGCCCATCTACGGGACAATGTCCGACTGGTTACAATAGGATTGCTACGCTGTTGTGTAGACGTCCAGAGAACAGTAACAACTCTCTTCTCTGGACGTCTACACAACAGCGTAGCAATCCTATTGTAACCAGTCGGACATTGTCCCGTAGATGGGCAGCATCGCGCCCGAAACCGGTCGACAGAAAGGTAATTTTTAATCCGTTTTAAATTTTGTAAGAACGATAAGTGTTGTGTCTTGTCTCGCGTCGCGTGTTATGTGTGTCTTTCGTCTTTCTCTGAATGTTTTTCAGCTTCGTTCAGAAGTTAATTAAATTCTTCATAATTCAACCTGAATAAGTTAGCTGACATTTGTTTAAAGCATTTTAGAATATTCTCAAAAGCTTCCAGACGTTTCGACATTTTCAAAATTATATGATAAACAATTACAAACCGGAAAGAGTGTTCCATAACAACATCGTGAGGAGCAGGAGGACAACAATGGGGTCGACTATAATTTGCGATGAAGCATTTAATAACACGTTATCGTCACCTAATATTGTAGAACGTGACCGTCGCTCACACGTAGATACACAATAGCCTTCCTCACCTCACCAAGACCTCGACCATTCAGTGCCGGATGTGTGATATGGTCACGAGCAGACAACAAACGATCGCACGCATATGCGTAAATCAAATATTAGATAATCATGGCCCGGAAAATTTGCATAATTTGCAATAACCAGCCAGTCAGCCTGCCAGCAGCAGCAAAGCTTACAGATTCATGCATTCCAAATGGCAACAATATCATAATGTATCATTCCGCTCTATGTGTGTATGAAGGCAGACCAGAAACGTCAGTACGCATCGTTGTAAAGTTGAAATCCTGTAATATTTGACATGAAGCATCATAATTCGACTGGATATTATATGGAAATCGTAAATCTACAATCATACAATGTAAATGCTGCACCATGCTATTCAAATTAACGACGACCGAGGAACATCTATGTATCGATAATTTCGCTTCTCCCTGATGTTAAACAGAGTTTTTCGAACACAAAATTCAAACAGTCAACTTTAATTGCGCTGAGAGTTCCTCGAATTCACAGAAAATCCATCACTCCCAGTGACATTTGATCCCAAATTGACCCTTTTCTTATTTTTTCTCTTTTTTCCTTTGACGCTTCCAGGAAGGGCGGCCTGCTGCTCAACAACGTGCTCGGTATCACGGGTGCATGCCTGATGGGATTCACGAAAATGAGTCATTCCTATGAAATTCTATTCCTCGGACGATTTATAATTGGTGTCAATTGTGGTAAGTTGAGGGCACTGTTATTTTTTTTTTTTGCGTTCAACATTTAATTGGCTCTTTTTTTTTGTGTCTTTGAACAGGCTTAAACACATCATTAGTACCAATGTATATATCTGAAATTGCTCCATTAAATTTAAGAGGTGGTTTAGGTACCGTTAACCAATTGGCTGTGACCGTAGGATTATTATTATCACAAGTACTCGGTATAGAACAAATTTTAGGAACAAATGATGGCTGGCCCGTGCTGTTAGGGCTCGCCATCTGTCCAGCTTTATTACAATTAATACTCTTACCTATTTGCCCCGAGTCACCTAGATATTTACTAATTACGAAACAGTGGGAGGAGGAAGCGCGTAAAGGTATGTACAACATATATTTGCTGATTTGGAAGCTCCATTGTTTGCTTTATTTGCACTTTACAGCCCTTCGGCGGTTGAGGGCGTCCAATCAGGTAGAGGAAGACATCGAAGAGATGCGTGCCGAGGAGCGCGCGCAGCAATCGGAAAGTAGCATATCGACGATGGAACTGATATGCTCGCCGACGCTGCGGGCGCCACTCATGATCGGAATTGTGATGCAGCTGAGTCAGCAGTTTAGTGGAATTAATGCCGTAAGTGCAGCACCACGCGTCTCCATGAAACACAATTTGTTTTCTTTTGCTCTGACTCACATGGTTAATCATCCAGTGACAACACGGCAAATTACCTCCAATCAAGGAGCATTACAATTATCAGATCAACGATGTAGAAACAAGTACACTGTTGTGATCTATTAAAGCAGAAAACTCTAAACAACCTTGAATGGATGCGCGTCATTAGCTATTAAATTTTCACCATCATTTCACAATCTGCCACCACAAATCACTAACAGCTATTTTCAATTTTCTTCCCCGCTCCCACCCTCGGGAAACACAGGTATTCTACTACTCAACATCGCTCTTCATGAGCTCAGGTCTAACGGAGGAAAGTGCTAAATTTGCCACAATAGGAATCGGTGCAATAATGGTAAATGATCAGTTCATATGCGAAAAATGAAAATGAACACAAACATTAAACGGGACACATTCCAAACCACACGCACACAAACACTCACATAACTGACATCAATTCCCAATACATAGCTCATTTGATTCAAGCGGCGGATAGAAGAAAAAAACAAAACTCATCAAACCGCAAAACAATACTTCCCGTCAAACAAATGGAAAGCTGTTCCTGCTCGTTGTACCGAAATTGAGACAAAGGTTTGGAGCTGCAGGGTGGTTCTAAAATCGAAAACGGTTTTTTTTTATAGTCGAAATGTAATACTGAACTAAATCACATTTTCATGTTGTCATGGCTATCAGCGAATCCAAACACATAAAGCAACCGACGATACAGGCAAAGCGCTTGCTACAGCTACCACGACAGGCTCTCACTGCAACACAGCTCGATCGGAGTGGTAGAAGGATAATGCTATATTTAGGAATGGGCGATGTCGATGCGATTTTTACAGAATCAATTAATTTGCCTCGAAAAATCGATTATTTTTTCATCTGATCTTTTTCTGTTCGAAGTTTGACAGAATTGATTTTTCAAAGTTGATATCGATTTTTACTCATTTAAATTTATTTTATAAGGCATTTACAAAAAAAAACAAAGCGCCTAAATTACTAAAGGAGAAAATAAAATCACCGAGCTTTTTTTATGTTTTTGTTGTTGAATGAAATGTTATCATTGAATTCTTACTAAATCAGATTAAACAATGATAAATAAAATGGTATTTCACTATCCCAAAAATATGTCTTTATTTAAACTTAAGCGATTTTAATTTCATCGTCCTCAAATTTTGCCAAACACCCTTTCAATCTTGGGCTTTATTTATTTGTTGCTTTTTATTTTGGACCCATTCTTTCTAATTCGTCCAGCTGATTTTGTCTGTAAAAAAAAAAACACACACACACACTCCTTGATGCAAAAAACAAACATTGGAACGGTGAGTTTAAATACCTATTGAAGATTTTGGAAGCTCAGATATGGAGTTGAAGTTGAATAATCTAAATATTCGCAATATTTCTTAATAATTCGGTGTCAATATTTAAATATGTAGATTGTAATTGCTTTTGCCAACTGGTTTTATACAAATAAATCCTCACACACATACACCAAAACAGCAGGAAGAGGAATATTTCGTCTAATAGTAGATTATAAAGCGTTATTCAAACAAAAAAAAAGAATCGATTTTCCTAGAAACGATTTTTTTTTTCTTTCGATATTTTCGAGGATCTAATATTCAGTTTTAGAATCGATTCGACAACATCATTTTTTTTTTATAATGAGAGAGAGAGAGAGAAAGATTAGTAATTTCCATTTAATTCCACTACCGTATTTGCTTATCCTTGACAGATACGCGTATTTCGTCTACAATGTGCAATGTGCAGACTTCTTCAGTGTCTTGTACTAATACTCGACTGAAGAAAAGCATCGCATTTACCGAATATATATTAACACAGGTACATTTTCACTTAGAAACTAGGTAAACTTAAATTTAATTTCCTGTAGGAAAAGGTACTCCGCTGCTTACTCGCTGATGTGTCCTAGGTAGTAACTTGAAAAGCCATGTGTGTCCGTTTCCTTGATCCCTGTTGAGTAAAGTTGGATTACGTTGTTTGTTGATCTCGGCTTGAGGCTTTCTGCAACATCCAATTTCCATGGTGTAGATACGGTCCGTAAAATCATGATGTCCTCCGTCGATAGTTGGTGAAGAAGTGTTCTGCAACCTTTGATTTGAAATCATATGTTAGGCCTTTTTCCTCTTGCTTTTTGGCCTTATTAACCTCCACTATATGTTCTTTAAATCTAGTTGCGAAAGTTCTCTTGGTTTGTCCTACATATGCTTTGTTACAATGATTACAGCTTATTTTATATACACCTGCTTTACCTTAAACATTAACTGGGTTTTTAGTGGATCCTAACAATGATTTCATCTGATTATGTCTACTGGTGAAAACTAAATCTAATTCGAATTATTTTAACTGTGGTCTTAGCTTACAAGTAATATCTTGATCAAATGGAACGGACACTCGTTGTAAATAATCTCCATTGTAGAATTCTCGCTTTTTTATCGATGATTGCCAGGATTGTGGTCTCCTTGTATCGGTTGAGTCTTGCTGTTTCGAAGATGTACTGAAATTCCTTAACCTTTCCTGTATCGCTGAGTGGAAGAGTCTGCACTTGATGAATCATGTGGTGAAAGGCGGCCATTTTCTGCTGGAACTAATGGTTGGAAGTATAGGGGATAACTCTTTTGGTGCTTGTTGGTTTCCTGTAAATTTCGTATTCAAGCGAGGAGGATGATGACGATTCCCTGATGACTAGAAGATCGAGAGATGCGAGTTTCCCGTCTTTTTCTGCCTCGTGAGTGAATTTGATATGTTTGTGAATTCGGTTGAACTCATGTAAAATTTATGGAAGGGCTTCCCGTTTAACTACGCTGAAGATATCGTCAACAAACCTCCACCCACGAATTGGTAATAGTCCTTTCTCCTTTAGGATTGTCTCCATGTTGGCCATGAAAAGTTCACACAAGAAGGAGGATAGGGGGTTTCCCATTGGGGCTCCTTTCGGATGATGTATACTATCACCGCTACTGTTTCTCATCGTAATCGACGAGATCATGGTAGGTGCAATTGACCGTGTACCGAACCGTGGGCTGCTTTGGCAACCTATCACCATGGAGCATCTCAACGACTTCGATTTGGCTGATGATGTTGCTCTACTAGCACTACGGCGCTCTGATATGCAGAGTAAGCTCAATGACCTAGCCGAACGCTCCTCTGCGGCGTGTCTCACCATCAACATCAACAAGACCAAATCGTTGGATATCAACACGGGCAACCCTTCCAACTTTACGGTAGCGGGACAAGCAGTGGAGAAGGTCGAAAGTTTCCAATATCTTGGCAGCCAAATAGCGTCGGACGCCATTCAAGTTCGCACACAACTAAACAGCAGGATAACAGCTGTTTAGAAGCGTAAATGGAAGTGCAATAAGAGCTTGTTCCTACCGTCCCAACAGCCATAAGTAGCTGATTAAGTTCACCAGATTTGCTTGTATAGACGTTGAGTAAAGGTTGTCTCATATCGTATCTAGGCTTTATAAATGAAATGAGTAAAGCGGTTACATTGTGAAAATTGTTAGTTGGGATGATAGTTATATGATATTTATTATTTTTTTGCTCGAATTTTGTTCTACCGTTTGCGTTGTGTAAGAGAGACGACGCTCTCTTCCCCATCAGCTCGATGATGATCAGGCCTTCCATAAGTCGTCGTACTTGTCCGTTTTATAAAGAAAACTACGGTTAAAACGTGGCTTTCTTATTAGATTACGACACCACTGTACTGCCGCTAAGGGATCACAATTGATCAGATCGCCATAGATGGTCTTGAAACCCCTACAGTGGATCCTCAAATTGAGCTGGAAATAATTGCCGTGGATAATGAGACAGAATTGCTGCTTGGGCAACAGGAAACGCTCCTTTGGAATAAGGAAAAATGCCTGGACATCGCTCCCGCACAAAACAGGATTCATCTATCATTAATATATGACGAGCACGAAGAAGAGATAGCTTTTCCTGCCATATGTTTCGGCCATCTAAGGAAATTCAAGCCATATTTCATGATGGCATCCAGTAAAATTTGTCGTTAAGACAGGCGTGTGGTCAAACCACAACATTTGTTGTTATATGTCAATGAAAGTTCTTCGCCTTAGAGTTTTCGAAAGCTTGAAATGCACTTTTAAGTGCACGGGGACCGCTAACATTACACGTGTCAACCTTAAGAACCGCCTTATTCATGGAGCAGTGCATTGAGCGAAATCTATCCTTCCTCAAATCAATACCGAATTCAGTAAAGTGTTGGCAACAAAGGTAGAGAAATTTTTTCACCATGATGCGACAATTGGGAAAGCCTACGATGTTCCTCACACTTAGTGCAAATGAGATGAAGTGGCTCCATTTGTTGAATCTCCTACATCGATTGTCAGAAGGACACAATGCATGGCAATTACTTAACAGATCCTATCCAGTAATTGACTGCACTACAAAGAGCAACTCTGGTCAATGATGATCCAGTCACGTGCTGTGTGTACTTCAACAAGCTGGATGATACGATTGAATTTCAGCACCGTGGAAGTCCTCACGCGCACATCTTGCTATGGCTAACCAAGGAACACCCGGGAAGCAATCAGTGAAAGTATGCCAAAAATTACAGGTGCAACAGTATCATGGTATTCATGCTTGTACTACCATCGGCCCTTTTCTGGGCCACCAAGATTTTCCAAAAGAGTTAAATTTCTGAACATGTCCCAACTAAAATTCATATCAAAAGCTTCTTTTCAGGGCAATCATAGTCATACTAAAGAGTATAAACAGTTCCTCTGTTGTCCCCGCTCAAATTCCTATTCCTACACAAAACACAAGTCCTGCTGCAGTTAACAAATAACATTTATTATATAAGAACACGGAGTCTGACGTCACCATTGCGTACAACCCCAGAGGGCTGTCCATAGTAGTTTTTAAAAAGTTAAGTTAAACGATTTACCATTCAACGTAAAATATCACCTTAGAACTAAAAAAAAATACCTTCAACTAAAAAAATCCGTAGTAATCCGTAGATTTGAATAAGTCTACGGAATTGCATAGAAAAAAATCTGGCATCTCTGGTGTCAGGCGATCGTCTGTTTACTCGGTAGCAACCATTGTGTGGTTCTCTTCATTGTTCTTCAACAGCAGTTCTTTCGGTCGATGCGTCGTCGACTTTGGAAAGCAACCGTTTCGTGATAAGTGTGGTAGTGATGACTACGTTTTGCGTCCATTGCTGCAATGGAAGCGCTCTGCCCCTCGTTGGCAATACTGTCATGCAATGAAACCACTGGAAGCGAATACCATTCTGGTGGAGGAGGCTTATTGGATAGCGAAAGATAAAGTGTTTGTTGTGCTGTAGTTTTTGACTATAGTTTTGCGATGTTTAGAATAATGAACAAGAATCCTCTGAACCATTTCTCGATTTTTTTTTAACTCTTGGTTAAAATTTGACAGATGGAAAGTTATCGATTACTTCCTTCGCAAGGGAAGTAAAGCCGTTGGTCCCCGGCTCATGAGTTGATGGGTCGATATGTAGGGTCCAATTGTGGGAGCTGCCTCCCTGGCGTCGGTAGCGTTGGTGCTCAGCACGGAAAACAAGATCGACGGAAACAAATCAAGGAAAAAATAGTTATCGATTAACCCTGCTATCCGAGCATGGTTATTTCTGACAGACAAGAAGTTAAATTTTGACAACCGTGGCTCGAAAACCGGTCGATCGACAGCAAGGCGATTTTCGAACATAGAAAATAACTTTCGAAGTGTCACTTTTAACCACGAGATAAATGTTACGACGCAAATGGTTCACAGCCTCAGCTAATTTGATGGAGCCTTATCAAATAAATTAATTAACAAAATCAAAACTCATCCGTTTTACGGTACCATAAATATGCGAGAAGATGTGAACATGTTTTCTACGATTCCCAAATGATCAACTGTGAACCACCCTAGCGCCATCAATGGCATGGCCATTTCAATCAACTTTCACCGATCGTTCATATGCATCGGTGTGAGGTACAACTGGCAGCGAACTGGATTCCACCTGACCTTACATAACCTCAACAACCAGTCCAACTCATACATTTCAATTTCAATTCAACATTTATCAATTGATTTTTCTCTCTTTTCTTCTCTCCCCCTTTTCCTCCCGCAAAACGTGCAGGTTGTGATGACACTCGTATCAATACCACTAATGGATAGAACCGGTCGACGAACACTGCATTTATACGGATTAGGTGGAATGTTTATATTTTCAATATTCATAACGATATCATTTTTAATAAAGGCAAGTTTTTCCATTGTTATTTCCAACAACTCACATAGCATAACCAAAATAAAATGTTCAAAAATATATGCACGGATGATGTTGGTTAGTTGATTGGTTGGTCTGTCGAATTTTTGCATGGTGAGAAGGACACACAGCAACCAACATCATCCGATCCGGGCGGTCGTCATTTGCCCTGCAGCGCACTACGGATTTGGATTTTTTTTTTATTGAGCCTATGTAGGAGTTGAGGCGACGAAAAAAATATTAATTAAAAATTTCTCAGTTCGAGCGACACACACCGGACCGAAGAGGGTCCCTAGAAAAGCGCGAGGGCAAATGACATCGCTAATTAATTGAATACTTGTCGCCGTTGTATTACGCTCTCAATAGTTCGGGGCGAAATTTATTACCCGGGCGGCTTTTGCATGCGAATGTGCATTGTGTTTTGTGCGGTTGATAGTTTAAACTAATAGATTGCGTTTCGTTTGGGTAGTGAAAATTTACGGGTAGCCCTGGGAGAGGGCGGTTCAATGGTTCAATGGTTGGCATATTTATTCTTTTGTGTGGAAATGCGGCACATGGGACACGTATTGGTTGGAATGTTTGCGGTTTTCCGGAATGTAAAACATAGCCAATGGATGGATGGACAGCGACTGATAAATGAGTGGTAATAAATTTAAAATATGTTATACTACTAATTCACATCTCGGCAAATATTTGACTAGAATGGTGAACATATATTATTCAAAAGCGAAAGCTTAGGATTTTGAAAACTGATGAAACAAATTATTCATCAACCACGTGATCGATCAAGGCATTTCAATATTATGGCACACGTTTTCTTCTTCACTAGAGCTCTTATGGTGGTGAGTAGACTGATGCAAAAGTGTTTAAACGGTTTCAAATCGGGTCCTGATTAGCCTCCGAAAGTTTAATCTCATTTGATAAGAAACTGACTTGGCACAAACCATTTGAAGTTCATATGGAAATTACTACAGGAAAACCAAACTTTTTGTTCATTGTCTTCTAGCCTTTTTCCATATTGTACTGTTAACAAGTTCTATTGCTATTCTTATGGGAATTTTTATCAGCTACAACTTTGCAGAAAATCGTTTTTCAGCCAAACTTCAAATTAAATAGTTATTAATTGTTTGAGAGATTGATCTTGCCATAAGATTAAGCAACTGTATTGTTAAATTTGATCGAAAACTGGTTTTCAACAAAGTTGTAGCTGTGAAAATTTTCAAGAAGCTCAGCTATAATTTTCTATAGTAGAGTGAACTGGTGAATTTTAAAATACATATGAATCGAAATAATGGCTTCTCCATAGTAATTCCCATATAAACTTGAAATGGTTTGTGCCAAGTCAGTTTCTCACTAAATGAGTTCAAATTTTGGGAGGCTAATCAGGGCCCAATTTAGAACCGTTTGAGCACTGTGGAGTGAAAATTTCAAATTTTGCATCAGTCTAGTGGTGAGCGTCACAAGATCACAAGTTGTGTTGCCTAAAATGTATTAAATACCACATTTTTTTCCTCTGTTCGGGACATAAAAGTACTGCGACCAGTTATTTGATCTATTGTAGTATATCCCGTGTCCTTAGTTTAGTGCATGTCGTATTACTCCATCACTATTGAGAAATTATGAGTATTCAGTTTTAATACAGCCTTCATCGCAATGAATCGATTCTAATTGAAAGGTCTCGCTATTTACACTCTCGAAAAGCGCACCCCTTTATCAGTCAAAATTGGATTCCTTAGCAACCAAATTAAGCAATGATACCGATAATGACCATGCATCAGACCCCTAGTCATAACACAACCCCACCACTTCAAACTAGGGATCAACGAATAGAAGATTAGGAATCACATAACTAACTCATTTTTCCTTGTTTCAAGATCATCCTCGGTAGACAAAGTTGAGTCTAATCACAATCAACAAGGCATAACAAGTAACAAGTACAATAAGATGTGTTCCTTTGATTTCTGAAAATTCCTGTTCCCCTCAGTACTATGAATCAGTGGTAGATCTTACATCCCGTAACGTACCACGAAAAAGTGATACAAATACCATGCAAGAGAAAAGCTCTAAAACCTCAGTGAAGCCTGCATAAAATTTAATTCATCAAAACAACAGTTTAAACTGCATCATCTCATTGATCCACCGAATTTGAAATTGAATTCTTTCACCAACAAAAAAAAACATCAGTATAACATCACATCCAATTCCAAGCCCATCCACGGCATAGGTTCGCTTGATTGTGCCCTTCTCCTGCCAATTACCTCAAGCTGCAAACAGCTGACTAAAAATTCAATTTTCCAACCCACACCAGTCGAGCGCTCGTCGAGTCGGGGTCGTCGTGATTCTAATACAGAGTGAAATTTGGCTAGCCAGAACTCTGCATAAACCAACCCCCGCTCCCCGATGCATACAGTTTCATGGATAACTGCATAAAAATATAATACACACCGAGGAATCGGGACTAATATTTCATCTCGTCCCCGTAGTGTGCACGGAGGGGGCAGGGAGAGGGGCACACAACTCGATGATAGTAAAATAATAATAACATCAGCGATCGGGCGATAGCAATCTGTGCGCATTCGAGGTGAAAATATGCCAACCATCGAAAATTGAATCGAGAAAAGAAGGGGAACTCAAAATGTCTGCATGAAAGCCAACCGTCGGCGATCTATCGACAACAATCATCATCAGTGCACTCTATTTTGGGTTTATGAATAAATTTCGCCTCGACGCCGAGCGACTGAGCGATTTTTGTGTGCTAGTTTTTTTTTTTTAACCAATACAAATAGAAATATGTCTGTCTACCTTTTTCACCTCTCTCGTTGTCTATCTTTAACCATTTATCTTTAAACATAACTTTCCCTACCTCTGTTGTTGTTGATGCTGTTGTTATTGTTGTCGTTGTTGTTATTTCTAACATGTGTTTGTTGGTTCGTGTTATTATATTTTTAAATATTGGAACGATTTTGAATGGTGATATGATTTTATGTTGTTTCATAGTTTAATCCTTTTTACCAGATTGCTTTAGGTCCATCTCCAGCATATTACCCTCTAACCTAATAACGGGGTAAAAGAAGCGTGGTACGTGGTGTGTGCGCTGACTCACTCTACGGCGATTTCGTTTTCCCTTTTGATTGGTTCTATGCGATTTTAGCTTCGTTCCTGCCGACATATTTCTCTAAATGGTTTTGTGGCTAGCATTTGGGCATTTTCCTTTTCTACGATTCTACGTCTTTATCAATGGATTCAAGCTTGAATAAGAACGCGTTGTTTGTTCAAACTCTCATAACAAAGTGTGAGCTCTGTATATTCTGGAGAGGTGAGTTGAAATGTGTGCTTTGATTGAGTGAATGAGAAGTATAATTCGATTGATTGGGAAACATTTTTAAATCTAGTCCATAGTAAAAATGTGCGCTATTAAAAGCACGTTTGGAAAAAAAACCTGACTTGGCACAAACCATTTGAAGTATATAAGGGAATTGCTATGGGAAAGCCAAACTATTTGTTCATTGTCTTCTACCGTTTTTCCATATCGCACTTTTAAAAAGTTCTATTAGGGTAAATGTTGGCTTCGGCACCCATTGACTGTTTTCGGCAACCTAAATTTAAACGTTAATTTCACTATGTTTTACCATCAACGCACTTCCCTGAATATGTCCAAACGATTGTTTAGCCTTTCAGCTTCAATCTGATTATATTTGAACGATCGAGTAATCCAGTAATGCTACATTTTTCTTCAAATAAAGCATACGCACTACAAAATGGGGTTGATTTCGAGTTGCCGATAATAGAACAGCTGGTTAACACGCAGTTCTAATGGATAGGTTGCCGAAGAAAAAGAGGCTGCCGACAATAGTCACACTCACCTGAGAAGTTTGGAGCGTTGTAAAAACGCTTTCAAAATGTTTTGAAAAATTCTGTCGATTGGAATGGGTAGAGAAGCAAGCAGCAAATGAATGATGGAGGGGATCCCGGAAGGTGGTGTCCAGAAAAAAAGGGGACCCATAGGGGAACCCGGCGGGGTTATATATCAACCCAACATAAAAATGACTGCATAACATCATTACATTACAGCAGAAAAAGTTAGGGTTCACAGGGTTAAAGGAACTTCCTGGAGAAAATGGAAGAAATTTCCTGAAGACGCTGAATGTAACTTTCTGAGGTAGTTTGGAAATTTTTTTTAAGAAAGTCGGTAGCTTCTTCCGGAGGAAGCCAAAGGGTTTTCGGGACAATCAAAAGAAAGTTCAAGGAGAAGTTGAACACAAATCTGTAAAAAAGAGAGTTCTACGGGATGTCGATAGAATTTTCCAGTGAGAATCGGTTGAATCTTGTAGGAAAATAAGCACAATATTCCGGGGGCGCTGAACAAAACTGTCGGGAGAAGATGGAAAAACCTTTCAAGCGAAGCAAGCCAGAAGAAGCTTCCGAGGGAAGCCAAAATAACGTTCCGGGAGGAATTGGAAACTAAGTTAGATGGTGAGGTGGAATATACCGAATATACACAGCAGCACACGCCTATCGTATTGATTCCTGGGTAGCTTTTTTATGTATTGAATAAAATAAAAATTCCGTGCGTTTTGTTCACGTAAATGCGTAATTTTGTCATCAAAAAAAGAGGCGTTTCCGTGATGGGTAAAGTGGTTTCCCCAACACAGTCGCCGAATGTTGATACCAAGCACTGAACATGCCAATCTTTATGCATTTTGGTGCAAATTTGAAGCCCCTCCTATTAAGAGCATTATGCCAAATAAAATACCTTGCCGAATTATCTCAATAGAAGGGGCTACAAATTTACATAAAAAAGTATAAAAGATTTGGAATTTTGATCATTTACCTGCAGAGTGGAAATTAAACTTTTTCAATTTAGCAATCAAACCTTCATGCCAAACACTGTCGAATGCTTTTTCTATGTCTAGAAGAGCAACTCCAGTTGAGCAGCCTTCAGATTTGTTTGAACGAATTAGGTTGGTAAATCTTAAGAATTGATGAGTAGTTGA